TGGCGCTGGAGCTGGCGTCTCGAGTCAAACGCTTGCTTGATGATGCGATCGAGGAGGCCGTCGCGGTCGATGCCGCGGGCAAGAATCATCTCGTCAAGACCAAGAACGCCGTCTTGAAGTTTCTGCAGGGTGTTGGCACGCGGCATGCCGCTGCGGCGAAGGGGAACGGGGGTGCGAGTGCGAGTGCGAGGAAGAGTGGCATTGCGGTCCGGGGCGGTTCGAGTGAGGAGGAGGAGGACGGGGAGCAAGATCTAGACACGAATCAGAGTCCGGCGCAAGGTAGTGGCCAGGTTGCGGCTGTGTTGGTTGGGCGTGAGGATGGAGATGGACGGGGTGGGGACGGGGATGCGATTGAGGATGGTGATGCTACGACGACGCGGATGATGGAGACGCTAGAGTTGGCTGGGTCGGAGGACGACGACTCCCTTTGAGCGCACCCGTACTTTCTGGCTTGGGCAGTGTTTCATGCAGGTGGTTTGGTGTTTGGGGATCACGTTATGGACACTGCGGTCAATCAATCAAGGAAGATATACCATTGCTGTAGGGGCAGGAAATGATGCTTAAGCTGGTTGGTGGCTTTGAGTTAGTAGTTGAATGGTTCTGACAATTGCTTCATGACTACAATATCCATCTTTCTAACTTTCCCCCCGTTTGGCGACTTGCCTGCAAAGGGGTCCAAACTCCTCATCTCCCATGTCATCGCAGCTGTCTCGCTGAAGATTCCGGTGCACATATGCTGGGTATCATGTGTGTCCGTAGGACTGTGTTTATGAGAACACCAAGCTCATAAAACGGGGAGAGGAAGGCTTCGCAGGCGCACTGGATCTATCGGTCTCCTTGCACGACGCCTCCGCTGGGTAGTCTCTGCACCCACAAGCTCGAGGTGACTTTGGGGCAGCAAGGGTGACCCGGTGACGACGTTCGATGAGTTTGCTATAAGTAGTACATCTCCTTTGATGATAAATTCACCATGCTCCAATGATTCGGAACATGTTTATCGAACCCATTCCTGAGGGCAGCGCAATGGTCAAGCAAAGGCACGGAGCATGCCGCACGGACATACAAGGCCTTTTGGTGATGAACCTTCTATGTCCTTGACCGCAGAGTGTCTAATGCTCCTCAGGCTCAGCGAAAATTTGTCTGTATCAGTTATAACACCATCAAGCACCCCTCGCCAGTGGATCGAACGGTATGCCTGTTCACCCAGTTCAACAGCATCTGCTCACAAAATGCCTTGCTTCTGCAGATCGAGGTAAATTCGTTCTGGCATCACATTGCCTTCACCGTCTTCCATCTGTACGATGCTATCCTCTTTGACCTCTTTATCCTTGCGCTCTTTCTTGATCTTCTCCCAGAGTCCCAGCGCCTCGTCAATGCCAGTGATTTCCCTGAACAAGCCCGCTCCAGCCCCAGCCCCGGTGATGCCCAGACATTTGAGACCGTAGACGTGTCGAGCCTCGCTGAAATGCTTATCGAATGCCCTTCTGCCCATGTAGACGAAATTTCCACATATTTCACAGGAGAATTCGACTCCCAAGCCGTGGAGCTTGTAAAGCCAGTAAGGAATCGGTTTGCCATCCCACGCCAAAGGCAGCTTGAGAGGGTTATAAATCTTCTCCTCTCCTTCACTGTCAGAGTCTGAATCGTGCTTGCCACCTCCAGCAGCCGCCGCAGCATCGTCCTCGGCAAAGAGCGCATCCAGCTCCTGTTGCCGTTCTCTTTCTGTCATGCCTTGTTTTCTTTCCACGTTGACTCGTGTGTTGGAACGTTCGTTGTCAAGATAATCAGCAAGACGACGCACTCGGAATTCATGTGATGCAATAGCACGTTCTTTGAGTCTGGTGAGGTTATTGGAAGATGCAACAGTGCCATTTGTGGAGACACTATTTGTGCCAGCACCGCCAGCCCTCTTGGCTTCTGCTGCTCGAACGTGCTTCTTACCAGTCAGGTGATTCTTGTACACATTCTCATTCTTGAACTCCTTCTCACAGTCAGAGCACCAGAATCCCTCACCAGTGCCTTCTGTTTTCGGTTCGTTTACCACGGGCTCTGCAGTGTCCTCTTTGCCCCACCCGGGCACCGAGTCTGACTTCCATGCTGTCTCGAACTCCCGATCGAACCCAGTGAAGAGTTTGTCGAGATCTTGTAACGGCTTCGTACGTCGTACAAAGCTTTCCAGGTAGCTCGACAAGTCTCTAACGTATTTCAGATATGTATCCGACAGCTTATTTGCTCTCTTTATTGGCATTCGTGGGGGCTCAAACGCGTCGAAAGAGTCAAGGTACTGCAGATAATTGAGGCGCTTGATGCCTGGTAAATTCAGATAGTCTTCGTGTAAGGTAGTGAGATCCAGAAAGCGGCCGTTGGATTCTTCTCCGGTAAACATGTTGTCAGTCTCGGACATCAGGACTTCTCCTTCTCCTGGATGCCTTCTTTTGTAGGCGCGTTCTAGGTTTTCTATCGGTTCATTCGGATATCTCCGATGAAAGTCTTTAACCTCCTCTAGCTGTTTGTAGAACTGCTCCATCGGGTCGCCGGTCGACAGCACCTGGACTTCTTTGGGGCGCAAGCCTTCGGCATCTTTGTAGATCTCGAGGAGTCGTTGTGATTGTTCCTGAATACGCGTAAGGAATCCTGCAATCTGATGGTCTCTATTCAGTCGGTCTTTGATCTGTGTTGCGGTCTGTGTTAGCAAGAATGATATGTCGCGTACGAATGTACCTACATTTCGAGGATCTTCAGCAAGGCGATCGCTTATAGCTTGCTCCAACCGCTCAAGGTCTTCGTGGACGAAGCGCTGGTCTTCGATAATCATCTCGCAGCAATGGTAGCAAGGGTTCTACGGTCTCGGAGTGTGTATAGAAGCTATTGTGACGCGGTAGGAAGATGTAGTGATCACTGTGTATGTACCACGCCCACACACAACCGTTCAGCCGTGGCAGAATGCCAAGCCTTGCAAAGAACAACTTGAACTTATTGAGACTCTTTCTGGAGCCTGCCTTTGTTCTGCCCCAATTGGAGTCTACGTGTGCCCACTTAGGATCTTGATATTCAGACAGAAGCCAACAGTCTCATTCCAACCATGGCGGAAGGTATTGACAGAAAGGCGGAAGGTCAGTTCTGCATGCCCTGGATCTGCGAGATCTATAGTTTGACCCGTTGGTAGAGCGCATCGATTTTACGACTTCGAAAGAGGTGACAGTCGCACCAACCTTCGAGGACATGCATCTCAAGGAGAACTTACTGCGCGGAATATATGCCTATGGATATGAATCGCCCTCAGCTGTCCAATCAAGAGCCATTGTCCAGATTTGCAAAGGCCGCGACACTATTGCTCAGGCACAGTCTGGTACAGGAAAAACTGCTACATTCTCAATAAGCATTCTACAAGTCTTAGAGACCTCAATCCGGGAGACCCAAGGTAGACCGCTCACTTCGGCAGGTGAGGTTTCTGGCTGACTGCTGCAGCTCTCATACTTTCTCCTACCCGTGAACTTGCTACCCAGATTCAGAGCGTGATAATGGCCCTTGGTGACTACATGAACGTTCAATGTCATGCATGCATCGGCGGGACGAACGTTGGAGAAGATATCCGTAAGCTCGACTATGGTCAACATGTGGTTTCCGGAACGCCTGGAAGAGTGGCAGACATGATCCGGCGCCGCAACCTACGAACCCGGCACATCAAAATGCTGGTACTTGACGAGGCAGACGAGCTTTTGAATCGAGGTTTCCGCGAACAAATCTACGATGTGTACCGATATCTCCCGCCTGCAACCCAAGTAGTGGTCGTCTCTGCTACGCTTCCGTACGATGTCTTGGACATGACAACGAAATTCATGACAGATCCTGTTCGCATCCTGGTCAAACGTGACGAGTTGACACTCGAAGGTCTTAAACAGTATTTCATCGCGGTTGAGAAAGAGGAGTGGAAATTTGACACACTCTGTGACCTGTACGACACGCTTACCATCACCCAGGCCGTCATATTTTGCAATACACGTCGCAAGGTGGACTGGTTGACCGACAAAATGCGCGAGGCAAACTTCACAGTCAGCAGCATGCATGGTGAAATGCCACAGAAGGAACGGGACAGCATCATGTCTGAATTTCGCCAGGGCAATTCTCGAGTCTTGATTTCCACAGACGTATGGGCGAGAGGTATTGACGTCCAGCAAGTCAGCCTTGTAATCAACTACGATCTTCCCAGCAATCGAGAGAACTACATTCACCGCATTGGTCGAAGTGGACGGTTTGGCAGGAAAGGTGTAGCCATCAACTTCGTCACAAGCGAAGATATTAGAATCTTGAGAGATATCGAACTCTACTACTCGACACAAATTGATGAAATGCCAATGAACGTCGCGGATCTGCTTGGCTAGAGAACAGCCTTACAAGCCAGGTTACGTACATCTCTACTAAATGATAGCAATTATGACGCGCAGGTTCTGGCGGTCGTCACAGCAGGCAGGCGCTTGCAAAAGTGGAAGGACGTGTTGAATATTATGCAGTTCAGGCAAAACCGTCTTCAGCAGCAGTCGGCTGCCACAGTGGATGGAAATGGACCAGTTCGACAAAAGGTTTGGCTCCCAAGACAGCTACTTTGTTCGGCTCAAGACTAACGCCAGAATGTGCCAGAAATGATTACCATATCTATCTTCGTGATATCCCATCTCGTGAACTGCTCGCATCCGTCGTCCAAAGCGTGCGACTGCTTACACAAATTGATGTAACAGCACTGCCCCTATCAATTCTGACGATTTACAAGGTTTTCCATTGACTCGGTTTTGTGAGCTGTCTGTAATCCATCTCAAGCGACGATCTCGAGCAGATAATGCGGGAGAGTGGCCATTCAAATTAGATGCAACAGCGCCAGGGTTAATCGAAAAGATGGACCACCAAGCTCTAATACTCCTGATTTGATGTAGTGAGCATGTATTCGTGTCGCATCTTGAGCAGCAGCCAAACTTACTTTACAGTATCTATTTATAGGTGCGGAAACACATTCAATCAGGAGCAACACAGCATCTATTTATAGGTGCAGAAACGCATTCAATCAGAAGCAACACAGCAAAAACCTCGTCTTCGCGATCAGGTCTTTCCCAGAGCTGAAAGCATTGTCTCTTTTCGGGATTGCTGATAAAGACGGCATCGCTTTTCCTGCCCAGTGGTTTCCCCCCCTTTTTCATGATGCAGAAATCTGCGAGAATCAACTAACATATTAGTCTTGATGACACCTGAACTCGCAACAAGGGCAGTCTGACGATGCTTAAGTCGTGTCGAGACTAAGTCGGGACAGACCGTCCAAGTATTCAGCCAACACGCATAGTTGAAACCAAGTACAATTCCATTGCCTGCCATATCCGGAAAGTTGACGTTTCCGTCCTAGGATATCGGCTCGCTGCATAAGACTGGCCCACTGATGCAGCATTGCAAGGCTAAGTCGAGTATTTATCTGAACCCCAGCACTACGCTCGGTACTTCGGTCTGTGCGAGCCAAGGCGATCAGCCTTATCCTGGCTTCAGTGACAACTGTTTGACTCTCGCCGCGATCAAAAGTCTCGAATGGCCCAATCGGCTTGACCATCCTTTTTCTCGAACTACCCCATCCAGCTCCCAGCTCGAATTTTCGTCGTGTCTTGTTTCAAAAATGTGGGGGAAACGGGCCGACTGTGTTGCTGACCAAGGCCTCCAAGACTTCTCGCAACTATTCTCGCTGGAATGTCTCGCTCCTACAATGCCTCTTTTCAAATACCAACTTCTCCTCTTTTCAGAAGCAAATTTTTCCTCATCTTTATTACCTCCGTTCAGCTTTCACTTGCAGCATGTCATCGTCAAACCTTCCCTGGTGGAAGACCGCCACGTTTTATCAAGTTTACCCTGCCTCATACAAAGACTCCAATGGAGATGGCTACGGAGATATACCAGGGATGGTCACCACCTTGGACTATCTTAAGGAACTTGGTGTTGATGCTGTCTGGCTTTCACCGATGTTTGACTCACCACAAGTAGATATGGGCTATGATATCTCGGATTATACCACGGTGTATCCCAAGTTCGGCACCGTTGCCGACATGGATAAACTGATAGAGGAGATGCACTCACGTAATATGAAGCTCATTCTTGATCTTGTTATCAACCATACCAGCGACCAGCACATCTGGTTCAAGGAGTCTCGAAGCAGCAGAAACAACGAGAAAGCCAGTTGGTACATTTGGAGGAAGCCCACTTATGTCAATGGTGAAAGACGGCCACCGAACAATTGGCGCTCCATATTCGGCGGCAGTGCCTGGGAATATGAGCCAGCAAGGGAGGAATACTATCTTCACCTCTTCTGCCCGGAGCAGCCAGACCTGAATTGGGAGAACCCTGTCGCTAGGCAGGCAATTTACAAGGATGCTATAGAGTTCTGGCTAGAGAGGGGAGTTGACGGGTTTCGAGTTGATGCTGTGAACATGTACTCAAAGGATCCGAAATATCCCGATGCGGTTATCCAGGACGCAGGCGCAGAGTTTCAAAGAGCAGAGAAGCATTACGTCAATGGCCCCGGCATGCATAGATGGCTAAAGGAGATGCGCAAAGAGTCGATTAACAAATACGGAGAGGTGATGCTGGTGGGAGAGTTGCCGCATACGGATTCGAGAGAAGTGATTCTAAGATACATCTCTGCCGCGGAACAGGAACTGTCCATTGTCTTTGATTTCGCCGCAGTGGATCTTGGGAAGCGCGCAACGGCGAAACACCAATGGTTCAAGCCCAGCCTACCGGACTTCAAGCAGACCTTTGTCAAAGCGCAGGATCTGCTGGTCGACACGGATGCATGGACTACCGTTTTCTTAGAGAACCACGACCAACAGCGGAGCATCAACAGATTCACCACGGATGACCCTAGATATCGAGTCAAAGCAGGAAAAATCCTCGCAATGTTGCTTGCCACACTCTCCGGAACATTGTTTCTATATCAAGGACAGGAAATCGGCATGGTCAATGTGCCAGAGACCTGGGGCCCGGAGGAGTACAAAGACATTAAATCGATAAATTATTGGAATGAGATGAACAGAAAATATCCCAACGATGAAAAAATGCTCGGCAAAGCTCTTAGGGCTCTCAGAAATGGGGGCCGAGATAATGCGAGAATCGCCATGCAGTGGAATGCTTCGAAACATGCTGGCTTCACCTCTGGAACTCCGTGGATGCGAGCACATGACAATTACCCCGAGGTCAACGTGGAGGCCGCACAAAGGGACCCAGACAGCATCTACCACTTTTGGCAGAATGTGCTCAAGTTGCGGAAAGAGCATTCTGACGTCTTCATCGAAGGTGGCTATGAGATGTATGATTTGGATAATCCCGATACCTTCACATTTACCAAGACGGTCAATGGAGAGCCGCGCGCCTTGGTCGTTTTGAACTTTTCATATAAAGAACAGAAAGATCCGGTTCCGCAGAGCTTGAAGAATACGAAGTTGGATTTGCTTATCACGAATGGTGAGGGCAGAAGTCGGTCGCTTGGTGCTTGGGAAGGGGCTGTGTATACTATATCAAGTGAGCATTTGCGTTCAAAAGAGTAAGACTTTCAGGCGGCGCCGGGATATCAAAGACTAATCATGGACGGGGATGCCTTCTCGCTTTCTGATATGCAGTGTCCGTTGTTTCGACTTTCGTACCTTGAAACACAATTTCCTCGTTGTTCAGTGTTCTCTCTTAGCATAATATATGTTTTTTGATTTTCCATCTTCATTTGACTTTGGCAGCGTGGCCAATTGGTAGTAAATCTATCACTGCGTAGTACCACATATCACCGGTCCCAAAGCTGTCACACTAATAACTTCGGAACTCGAGTCAGTGTACCAGACGGTCTGTTGCCTCCTCCCCTCCCCTCCCGCCTTATGAACAGAATATACTCTTAGTAACGAGGGCATGTCTCCTGACCTTCTTGACCCGCCACCACAACTTAATGTGAATGACGGCTCGGGAGGTTAAGGTTTTGCTGTTTGTTCTTTAACCTCTCATAAGAGGGCGGTGAATGTAGGAAGATGGCTCAGGCAGGTGTTCACATCTGTGGTCTTCCATGACTCTTGCTCTTTGCTTTTCTCTCTTTTCTCGTTCTTCTATTCAGGGTTATGGCAAGAACCTGGCGCATAGTGTTTCAACGCTAACACATAAAATTTCTGGTCTTACGTCGTTTATTATAGTATTTCGAGGCTTGCAAGATGCACTGCGAGCATTCAAGACCGTAGCGTGCTAGTATGAACCAAGGATGCTGGACTCCTAAGCCAATGACTCAGGATAGAACGCCCCGTACCTGAGCATGCGCATATATCCATTTCATCTTGGTATCAACCCATTGTACCCCATCCGGCGAGTCTGAGGCTTCAAGTCTATGGCGACTATTCGTGCCTCAAGCAATACTGGACGGTGGAAGATATAGTTGAGAGACTGAATTAGGTAGCGCGGAAGTCTTAGTCGAGAACTGAGTCACGTGGTTTTCGCTACTGGTCTTACTCACTTTCCGTAACATTTCCTGTCCATGAAAGCTAGACTCCTTGCGCGATCTTTCTATTCGATTGCATCGCTGCATCTGAAGAATGAGCTTCCCTGGGATGGCGCCCCAAGCGGGTGCGGGTGGGATGAGTGAGCAGGAGCAGAAATATGCCAAGATTGTATGGAGGATTTCCTCCGTGAATGTTGCGGCTTAATGGCTAATCGGTTTCACAGATACAATCGGGCATGGAATCATGTGTGGTCAAGTCTATCATGGCTGGCGGAATAGGCTTTGCGTTGGGAGGCGCTTTCGGCCTTTTCGTTTCTAGTGTACGTCTTTCATGTGTACCCTCATCGGTTCCACTGCGAGTCTTTGATGACCTGCGCCAATTATTACCCACCCCTCCCGTATTTCTCCATCTCGCGCCCTGACAAGCTCGCAGATGTCCTACGACACGCCCCTCACACCTCAAGGCCAAGCAATCGCCAACTTACCCGTGCGCGAACAAATCCGACGCGGCTTCAAAGACATGGGCTCACGGTCCTACTCCTCGGCGAAGAATTTTGCTCTCGTGGGCGCGGTCTTCTCCGGAACTGAATGCTGCATAGAAGGGCTGCGCGCAAAGTCTGACTTGACGAACAGCGTTGCTGCGGGCTGTATAACAGGCGGAATACTGGCTAGAAATGCAGGTCCGCAGGCTGCCCTGTTGGGATGTGGTGGATTCGCCGCTTTCAGTGCGGCCATCGATGCTTATATGAGGATGCCTGGGGACTCGTAAAGGGGCATTTCGTTGGATAAACAATAGAGCTGGGCCGGTGATAGTAAGAGAAGCGTCTGCGAATGGCGTTTGGAGCGCATCATGCATAGCGAGGTGTTCTGGCTGCCTCTGGGAGCCAAATCGTGGGCGTCATGTTAAACCCTCCTCTCGAACCTCAAACACATTTCATCATCTATCGTCCTTCGACAAGTCTGTTTCCAGGCTGAAGATCATCCTAACCTTCTTCAAATCCTACTACACCTTAGCGCTCAGCTTTACTGGTCAACTCCAAATTCTTCATTCTTCATCCTACCGCCATAGATCACGAGTACTTCTCACTCCACAGCGCTCTCAACTCATTCATCAGTTAAAATCGACCTGATCAAGATGTCAAAGTTTGGTGACGAAAATTCCGAGTTGAGCTTTAAAACCCAAGCAGAGAGGTTAGTGTTTCTCTTCCGTCTCTGACTGGAATGGATTGACTCAATCTCCCCACAGGCTCCTTCAGGCTTGCAATAATTACGATGTCATTTCTAAGTGTCGGGATCGTGAGTGGCGTTTGCACAAAGATGTACCCCCCCATGCCTCTACATACTTTTGAGCCTGCCCTAGCGGCGCCTTCAAAGTCAGTGATCCCAATTACTGTAGATTCGTTTAGTGCTTATGCTTTCGGGAATCAAATGACAATCTTGTCGAGTTGAAAGACGTCGATGTGGATTCTTTCGGCGCTATCGTGCGATGGATGTACGCGCCTGACAAAATTGAGCTATTCAAGCACCAGCAACGAGAAGGTAGCGTGAACGATGAGCCTCTAAAAGACTTGAACATCAACTGCTTTCCCCCTGTCCTGCTGCTTACCGACCGTCTCGTGATGAAAATTCTTATCTACGATATGTGCGAACGGCTTGTGGATGGTTTTGAGATGTCATTGTCTTGGTGTACAGGACGCCGTGACGCTACCGCGGCTGAGGAGGCAGAGGCGCAGGCATGGGCAGGCGATGGGAAAGGTGCAGACGAAGATGAAGTCATCAATGAAGAAGAGGCCGGGGTGGATGTAGAGGAAGAGGCAGACGAAGGTGAGCAGGTGGGCGAAGAGAAAGGCGCAAGAGAATCGTGAGAAATTCAGTACGAATCACCATGTAAAAGTTGCTGACGTTGGCTATAGCTGCGGATTAGAGAACATCTTAAGTGGATGTCTTACCTCCCAGACCATCTTCGGCACAAATGCGATAACAGAGTCATTCATCCAGTCTTGCACAGCACCAAAAAAGGGATTTAGTGCCGAAATGATCGAGCTTGAGCCTTTGTAGACGTATGTTGGGACGCACTCTGATTTTGCAATCAGGCGGCTGTGTCGCTGCATGGCTTCTCGTTTAGAGGAAATGGAGGCTTTCCGGGATTATTAATTGGTCTGACAACAAGTAGAAGCAGATTTATCTCGGTATGCATGGAAGTGAAGAGGAAGAAGCCGTATTTACTGGGGAAAACCATCTTTCTTACCTTTGATCTGGGCAGAGAAATGGAAGATACCGCATTCGCCTTTTTCAATCAACCACCATGAATCAACGCAAGGCTTTGGCGCCTCTAGAAATCAACAGGAGCTATGGCCAGGAGCTATCTCCATATCAGCGCGGTCAAATTACAGCCTACCATGAGGTAGGCCTATCAATTAGGAAAATTAGCAAAAAAGTAGATTGCACTAGATCTACTGTTTTCAACACCCTCGTACGAAATCCACTCCGCAACGAAGGCAAAAGCTTGCCACGTTCTGGCAGACCCCTTGTATTAAATCACGTTCAAAAACGAAACATTTTACATATTATTCAAGCTAATCTGAGAATTACTTATACAGCTCTTCAACTTAAAGCTGGGGTGACTATTTATTATAATATCCTTTACTGAATCAAGGAGGAGGATAAGGTCAAGGAGAAAGATATCAAGGAGGGGGATATCGAAAAGGAGGATCTCAAGGAGGAGGATCTCAAGGAGGAGGATCTCAAGGAGGAGGAGGTCAAGGAGGAGGATCCCCGGTCTC